GGACAGCGCTGCGGGCCAGACCGGGGGCTGCCGCCGGGACGTGCCGAGGGGGCGTCGGGCGCGACCGAGAGAAGCGGCGAGCCTCGGCGGAGCGTTGTCCGGCTGGGCGCCTGGGCCGCCGCGACCTCCGGTTCTCGGGGGACTTGGCAGAGGAGACCCGCCTGCGGGAGGGAGCCGGAGGAGCAGGTCGGCGGGTCCGGGCAGGGGGAGAGGGAGAGCGAGGGCCAGCGAGAGCGAGCGAGCGAGCGAGCCTTCGAGGGGTGGGTGGGTGTGTAGGGGGACGAAGGTGTGTGATGTGTCTGTACGGAGTGTGTGAATGTGGTGTAGGGGTGTGTGTGCCTCTCTGTGTGACTGTGTATACTGTGCGTGTCTGTGAGGGGCGTGCGTGTGTGTGTGAGAGAGAGAGAGAGAGAGGGGAGGCTGGGAGCTCACAGAGCTTGGGGCTGAACCCGTGTAAGAGGGGGGGCTCGGCAGAATCGGGTGTGTGTGTGTGTGTGTACACGTGTGTGTGCAGGGGGTGTGAAGGGTGAGTGGGTGAGTGTGTCACGGGTGCTAGGTGTGGCTGTGTGTGTGATGTAAGGGTGCCGGGTGCACGTGTGTCCCTGGCTTACCCTCCCGTTCCCCCCCCAGATGTGTGTGCGTGGAGGGGGTGCGTGGAGGGGGTGCGTGGAGGGAGGTAGGACTCCGCTGCAGCAGCCCCTTGCCCAGCCTGCCTGCCTGGCCACCTTCCCCAGGAAGCCGGAGACGGCCAAGCTGCCCCTCCCCCAAATACTTCTAGGGTTAAGGGGAAGGGAGCAGGGCCAAGCCCCGGGAAAGAGGGGAAGGGCTGAAGGGACAGCTTCTGCCAGACCAGGGCACCCTGCTTCTCTGGCCCGAGCCTGGCTGCCTTCTCGGGCTCGGCCAGATCGCTCAGCCCTGTGCTTTGCCCTTCCCAGGGCCTTGTGTTCCCTGGGGTCTGAGTGAGAGAGAGTGCCAACACCTTAGGTTGGAGCCCGAGGTGGGGGTGGGAGCGGGTCGAGACTCCTCGGTGAGGGTTTGCTTGCTCACAGTTGTATCAGCAGAAGGGTGCTCGGCACATAGTAGGCCTCAATAAATATCTGAGAGTGGACGGGGAGGAGAGAGAGAAGAGAGAGGGAAGAGATCTGAGTCTGGGAATCCAAGTCCACCCCCTCAGCCATCGGGAGAGGATGGGGGTAGCTGGTTGCCTTCAGACCCCGGTCCCCAGATTGAGCAGGTAGGGGAGGCAGGGGTTTAGGGAGAGGGGCTTTGGCTGGAAGAGAAGGCGGAACCGCAGGAGAGAGATCTGTTCTGGAGCCTGAATGGAGGAAGGAGCTAGCAACTCTTCCTGGGCAGAGCCCTTTGCATCCTGCCCTCACCACCTGCTTCTCGGTGATCAGCAGCCTGTCTCAGGGGGCATCCGATCCCAGGCAGCCAGGGCTCATAGCACCTCTCCTTTCTCCAGGACCTTCAAGCTCAAAAGGTGCTGAAGAACTGAGCCCCCTGCCCACTGAGGCCACCGGAGGCCAGGTGGGGCCATGGCAGGGCATGGCTGCCTGGGGCTGGGGCTGTTCTGCTGGGTCCTGCTTGCTGTTCCGGTGGGCCCCCAGCCTGCCTCCTCCGTCACAGGTGTCGCTCTCACCACTCTGACCCCACCACCTCAGAGTGAGGCCTCTATGCTGTCTCTCAACCTGGGACTGAACTTCAAATTCCACCTTCGGGGACCGGCTGCCGCCTGGGGGATCTCTGTCACGGAGGCCCAGCCACTCTCTCCTGGGCCGAGCCGGGAGCCCGAGGAAGAGGTGGCCAGTGGGCTGAGGACTGATCCCCTTTGGGAACTGCTGGTGGGCTCCCTTGGGAACTCCCCCCCGGAGTGGGGCTCTGCTGAAGGCAGCTCCACTCCCTGGGCCTCCTCCCTGTCTCCAGAGTCCACATCCCCCCTCTCTGGGCCCACTGCCCGGCCCACTGCTCCCTATCAGCCCAGGACGGGCACTGTGACCTGGGACACTGCTCTGACAGCCACGGCACCTCCGTCCAGTGCTCCCAGGCTCCGCCAGCGTGAGCTGGAGCTGAAGTTTGACATGGCGCTGAGAGCAGGCGCGGCCCCCACGCTCGGGCATCGAACGCTGCCCCTGCTGCCCAGCCTGCGGGCCAGTCTGGCAGAGATTGCGGGGCGCCTGGGACCCTTTGGTGAGTACCCACCCCGTCTGGAGGAGAGCCCCTGCTGGGCAGCCCAGCAGGTGGGAGGAAGCTTCAGCCTGGGCTCCTTTTGCAGGCTTCTTCGGCACTACTCTGTCCCCGCTGCGGAACTTCTCAGGCCCAAGCCCTCTAGGCCCAACTCCATCCCCAAGCTCTGCCTCTAGAGTTTCAGATTCTCCAGGTGAGTGTTGATTTCACTGCAACAGACACTTAGGGAACACTTGTGCGTGCCGGGCACTGTGCTGTGGGCCTAATCAGCATTGCCCTTTCTCTTTTGACTCTGTGTTGCTTCTCCCAGGGCATGGGGCATGGGCCACTGCTCCCATGGGGAGATGCCCTCTTTGCCATCCGAGTCTGGTCTGGTCCTGGTAGCTTAGCTCCCAGCATACGTGTGGTTACGATTTCTGGTCGGGGTACGCTGGCTCCCTTAACATAAGCTCTGGGGGAAGGACGGGATTTTCTCCAAAGCCCCAGAGGCCAAGCCTGGCTGGTAGGATGGCCCTTGAACCCCACGTGCTCCCTTTGCAGGGTTCTTTGGCACCACTGTGTCCCCGCCCCCATCCCCCCTGGAAAGACAGCTTCCAAGCTCAGGCCCGTTGGACCCAGCCACTTCCCTAAACTCTGCCACAATGGCAACAGCGTCAGTAGGTAAGTGTCCAATTCACGTGAACATGACATTTATTTAGCACTTACTACATGCTAGCCACTCATCTGCATTCTGGGACTCTTTTATTTCATTGTCATCATAATCATAATCACCATTCTCTTCATCATCAGCATGGAGATATATATTAACGGTCTGGGAACAAGTGTTGCCGGGGGCAGTCCCACACAGAGTTAAGTAATGGTCCTCCGGGAGTTTTGTAATCCCTGGCAGAGCAGGATGTAGACAGATGTATCAGAAGCAGGCGGATACAGGAACTCCTCATGGTTCCCACAGCCTCAGTACCAACTCCACCCTTCACGCCAGTCTGCCTGGCCTGCCTCTCCACCCCGCACCCCAACCTTGGGGCTCTCTCCTTTGCCGTCTGATCTGATATGACATGTTGTCAGTTATGAGCAGAGCTGGGCCCCTCATTGGAAAGACGCTGAAGAGAAGACTTTGAACAGACAGATGCCACCCTTATTCAAGGAAGCCTTTCAGAATATACACATGGATAAGCTGGTGGTGCAGAGGAAAGAGCAGGGCCTCTGGAATCTTTTTTTTTTATTTTTTAAGATTTTATTTATTTATTTGACACAGAGAGAGAGAGATCGGAATCACAAGTAGGCAGAGTGGCAGGGAGCGGCAGAGGGAGAAGCAGGCTCCCCGCTGAGCAAGGAGCCCGATGTGGGACTCGATCCCAGGACCCTGGGATCATGACCCGAGCCAAAGGCAGACGCTTAACGACTGAGCCACCCAGGCGCCCGGGGCCTCTGGAATCTTGAGACTTGGTTTGGAATCCCAGTTCACTTACTAACTGGCTGGGTGAACTTGGGCAAGTTATTTAACCTCCCTGAGCCTGAATTTTCTCATATATCTAGGGTTTAGTAATAATACCTCTCTTGTTATCATGAAGCTTCCAGATAATGCAAGCTCCTGGCAGGAGGCTGGGCATGAAGTAGAAGTTTATTAAAGAGTAGCTGTTAACCTTGGTTCTTCCCCTACTGCATCCCAAGTTCACTTCCAGACCCTACCTAACACCACGTACCCTTGGCCTCAAGATGTGATGGACAACACAACCCACAGGGCAGAGTGCACACTCAGGGAGAGGCTCGGGTAGGTGAGGCCCAGGGAGCCATGGAGAGGGACCTCTAGGCCCGGCTTTGTTCTGCAAAGCCTTTATACTGTTGCTGCAAATCCTCTCGGCCACTTCAAAGTAGGAACCAGCTCAGCAGTGGTCCCCCAGCTTCTTCCAGTTCCAGACTTAACACAGAACCTGACTCTAGCTCACCCCCGAGCAGTTGCCGCACTCCTGGGCATGTGGCTGGGGAGGCAGCAGACCCCTCCCCATTCAGCCCAGTGTGTAGCAGTGGCAGGATCTGCTGTGGGGTGGGAGGCAGGCTCTGTGGCCCCCGGGGAAGGATGCTGGCTGGCAGTCTGTCAACCTTGGTGACAGTGCTGGCCAGGCAGGTTTAATGAGTCTGGACAGTGTCAGAGGAAGCCCAGCTCGCTGCCCCACCCCCTCCCCCATCCTCACTGATGGCTGCAGGAACTCAGCCTCTTCCTGGCTCTTTCTCTCAGATAGACCCAGGAGGGCTGGAGGCTTCTCGGCCAGAAGGTCAGGGACCTTGCTCCAGCCAGCAGCGTGTGTAGGAAGTACTGTCTGGCAGTTAGGGGATAAAGGGAGTCTCTGTGTGTCTCCTCTAGGATCTTTCTAACCTAGGTGTGGTTAAGCTTTGACTCTAGAGCTTCTCTTCTCTAGCATTAGGCTCCCTTCACCTTGGGCAGAGCTAGGATTCAGTCAGTACACACGGGAGAAGTCGTGCAGGTCATTAGCATATTGAAAGACTTTCAACCCTGTTGATAAGTACCCACTGGCCTTAGCCCCCTGAGCCCTCCCCTCCACTCCCTGACCACCCTGGCTGACGTCTGTTCTCATTGGCTGACATCTGCGCCATTTACAGTTGTTAAATATTTCGAATGTCAGTTACTCTTACAAAGAGGATCAATCTTCCATGATCCTAGAGGTGGGGGTGGGGGACAGGAATGGGGCCAGGCAGCTGAATGGGCTACAACTTCTACTGGGAGAGTGATTTCCCAGCCCTTTGATCTGGGCAGCTGGTAGATAATCAGGCCTGACTTTTCCATAAATCTAGCAGGCCCAGCTCCCTGACTCCTTCCCAGCCAGCTGTGACCTCACCAATTACTCACATTGGCATCCTATCTCCTTTCTTGCCCCTGAGGTCAAGAGGGGCCACAGGCCAGAGTGGGACCACCTTGTAAGAGAGGGCTGCTCGGGAGAGGAACTTACTATCTTCTGGGAGAGACTGAGGGCTCCTTCTGGGGAAGCCTCAAGTGGGAAGACAGGGGATGAGGTCAAGTGGATTCTTCCAAGGCAGAAGCTGGGTCTTCTCTGCCTGTCCGCACCCACAGCATGGCCCAGCCCTGGGTACACAGGGCATGCCCACCTGCCCCCCAGAAAGCAATGCTCCTACTTCAGAACTACCTCCTCTGAGACCTGAGCTGTGCCTGTACTTTGTCTATGTTCTGGTTTTCATTTTTTTTCCTGGCTTCTTAGTAATGTTAAAAATTTGCTCTAGTTGCCATAGTGCTTGGGGACAGAGGTGAGAGATGGGGTTTCTTGTGGCCCTTGGGTAAGAAGTGGAGCTGGAAGAAGGCAAGGAAGACAAGCTGTGCTTGTCTGCTCAGTGAACAAAGAGGAGGCTGTGAGGGGTGGCAGTCTGGTTCAGGCCGTGGCGCTCCTGGGCTCGGTCCCATTGCCTTTCCGTGAGCTCGCCCAAGCTGAGGAAAAGCCAAGCAAACTCATCCACTTTGCTCAAGTGGGTTGGGCAAGAGCATCTGTGGGGACAAAGGAATGAGGTTGATAGAGGGGGTACAAATATTTGATGCTGCTAACGTCAGACTGATACCCACCCCCATCAACAAGCCATCCCAGCTGAATGAACCTCATTTAACTCATGGCTGTGTCTTTATTAGGGGTTCAGGGGTGGTCAGTCCATCCAAATGGTGTCCTGTAAATAGGGTTCACAAAGTGAAACCATGTGTTGCCTTTCTAAGCAAGTTTAGGATGTGCTGAGAGACAACAGTCTTTTTTCTTTTAAGATTTTATTTGTTTATTTTCTATTTTTTTTTAAAGGTTTCATTCATTTATTTGATGGGGGCGGGGGGAGAGAGCAAGCACAAGCAACGCGGGGCTCGATCCCAGGACCCCAGGATCATGACCTGAGCCTGAGCCACCCAGGCGCCCCGAGAGACAACAGTCTTTTGTTGGTTAAATCAAGAACTAGTTTGAGGCCAGAAATAGTCACATTCACATGAACACAAACTGATGACCGATTGGTGATAAACATTAGCTAATAATGATGATACCAACAGCAATCATATATCGAATGCTTATTATGCACCAGGCACTCCGAAGAGCTCTGGACACATCGTCCATTCATCCACAAACCAGCCTTATGCAGTAGGTACTCTTCCTGGTTCGGACTTGAGGAACAGGATGCAACGGGAGGCAGGGCACGTGTTACCATTTGCCGTAGGTGGCGAGCTGTGTATACTTAATTTTTTGGCTGCTTCCCTCTCTGCCCTCCCCAGTTGTCTGATTCTGTCTTCCCCTCCTCTCTCTCCAGAGCTGCTTTCTGTCCCCCACCCCCACTCCTTTTCCTCATTCTCAGGATTGCCTGTTCCCAGCAGGAACTGGCACAGCCCTGGGGGTGAGGGTGCACCTGGGGTCTTCCTGTAATGTACAGCTGAGACCAGGCGGGAGCATGGCCAGGCAGTTGGGGCAGGAGTCTGGCTGTCAGGAGACCCTTCCTTATTCTTTCTACAGCTGCCTCCTGTGCACCTCCCCATCCTCACCAGGGTGTCTCCATCCTTCACCACCATCTTTCTCCCTTCATACTTGTTTGCAGCTGCAGTTCTGCAGAGCTTGCTAGGTGGAGTAGGGAGAGGTTCAGCCTGAAGCATCTTCCTTTGCTGCCTGGCCATGGGAATAATCCTTGGATCTCTTTCTAACTCTTCTCTTGCTCCAGGAAAGTAAATTAGGGATCTTACTCCTCATCCTCTTTCACTTGACCCCCCCCCAAAGATGTATTTATTTATTTGAGGCGGGGTGGCGGGGAGTGGAGAGGGAGCGAGCATGCTCAGGGGAGGGGCAGAGGGAGAGAGAATCTCAGCAGACTCTCCGCGGAGTGCAGAGCTCAATCCCATGACTCCAAGAGCATGACCCAAGCCGAAACCAAGAGTCAGACACCCAACCGACCGACTGAGCCCCTCCAGGTGCCCTTTGACTTCCCTTTCCCCAAGGGATGTGGGGAAGTTATTGGAGCACAGAATGGGGCGGGGGGCCTAAGTTAGCAAATCCTAGAGCACCTGAGGGGCTCACTCACTAAGATGGCATTTATCCCACTCGGCTCTCCCCAGTGGTTCCTTCCTGGGAGTTCAAGTGTAGCCTCAAGACCCAGGGAAGTCCATTTCAATGTCACCTTCTATAAAGTGGAGTGAGAACTCAAGGAGCATGTACATTAAGAGCCTTAGACGAATGTTTTGTGACTGAGTCAGGATGGGGACCATGGCTATGGGTAAGCTAAGGTTTGGGGGTGTGGCAGACAGGAAGGCCAGGGAATAGGGAAGATTATGTTCTCCTCAGATGCTGGGAGCCGGAGTGTCTTACCTCTCCCCCCGCTGCATGTGTGCATATGTGTGTGGGGGGGCTTTTCCTGAAGAGATGGGAGAAGAGGGAAACAGATGAAAAAGGGCAGAGGAAACTTCTCCTAGCACCAAGGTGGGAGTTGGGAGTCAGGGGTGCAGAATAAGAGATAAGCAAACTAGTATTATGAAAAAGCTCTGGAATTGTGAGAAGGGGCTCAGACCAGTGCTCAGATCTGGATCCTAGTGGCAGCTCTGCCACTTTGTGACCTTGGACAAGTCACTTTGCCTCTCTGTAGAGCCTTAGTGTCTTCATTGGACAAATAAGAGGATTCATTTATTCAACGAATATCTGCTCAGTGCCAACTCTGAGCCAGGCACCATTTTGGGCATGGAGATTCAGCTGTGAGCAGAGCCAACAAAAATCTTTGTTCTTATGAAGTTTTCTTTCTGGTGGGAGGATTGACCTAGAGGGGCCTTCTCCAGTTCCTTCCAGTTGTAAAATTCTGTGGCTTCTTAAGAAAAACCCTTTTCCAGGCACCTGGGTGGCTCAGTAGGTTAAGCGTCTGCCTTCAGCTCAGGTCATGGTCTCAGAGTCCTGGGATCAAGTCCCGCATCGGGCTCCCTGCTCAGCAAGGATTCTGCTCCTCCCTCTTCCTCTACCCCTCCCCTGGCTTGTGCTCTCTCTCTCTCAAATAAATAAACAAAATATATATAAAAAGGAAAACCCTTTTTAGTAGAATCGCAGAGTGATGAAGGGAAATGAACACCGCAGAGAGCTAAGGGTGGGTTAGGGATGCGGAGAGGGATGAGAGCTGGAACTACTGTTGGGGAGTGTGACGGGGAGGGGAAGGCAAGGGGCTGAGAGACCCCGTGAGTTGCCTCAGACAAATGTTCTTTGCCCACAGACCCCACCACCCCCACCTCCGGCCCAGATGACTCATCTCCTGCCAGCCTTGGGAAGCCTTCGGTGGAGCCAGAGTGTGGGTCAGGGTCCTGCAGCATGGGAGAATTGCCCGAACCCGAAGGGCAGCCCCCTGTGGCTCCGCTGCCCCTCTTCTTCCTGACCCTGGAAGCCAACTGGGCAGAGGCCAGAGCTCGCTGGGGGCTGGCCTGGGAGGCCCACGTATACGGGGTAGGCACTCTCTTCGGCCTGGTGGCCCTGCTGGCGCTGCTGGCCCTAGCCCTCCTGCCCTGGCGCTGCCCGCCCGGCGCCCCCTGCCTGGCGCTGCTGGACCTGCTCCTGCTCTCGGCCGGGATCACGCGGGCCTTCCCGCTCTTCTACGACGCCTATGGGCACCGCGATCGGCTGCCCCCGCTCGCCTGGCTGCTGCTGCAGG